ATCAGCTAAGAACCATGATGAGCAAAGATGCTTGTACAATTCTCTTGACCAGAAGAAGAATTAAAAAAAAAAATCTGTTTACAAGAAAGACAAGAAAGCCATTGTACAGGACAGTCAAAGTTGCACAGATGTTGACAGTTCAGAATGATGTCCTCTTCAATGACTTTCTGCCTAAACTGCTTTGTATGCTGTTACCAAGAAAGAAATGTACTGTAACTCATCCGAGAGAGAGGTTTTTGTTAGCATTTTACTGCAAGTTGGGTATGATGAACTTAAATTTTAGAGGAACAATAAGCTAAAGTACTATTAAAATATGATGCTGTGTTCACTCAGTAATACTTTCTGGTAGTTGCAGATCCTTTTTACGTTCAGGTTGTTATCTTGCAATAAAAGGTTGTCAGGTACACTGGAATCTTTCAGTTACTAGGACTATATATTAATTTCTTCTTCTAGCTTTAGACGTGAATTAACCAAGTCTCCAAACTGATTTACTTCTGCACAAGACCTAAGAAAAATAGTATTGGTATTATGTTTCATTCATCTGTTTTGTATGTTTAAAGTCTATATGGCAATCTGTGGTGCAGAAAAGCTGTAGGCAATGATTTACTGTGTCTTTGAAGTTGTCCTTGGGATTCTGGGTATGGCTAAAATGCACATTTGTGAAGTGTGTTTATGGTGATGAACAGACATACAACCATTTCAGAAAAAGGTGCATGACTTAACTGTTAGATGTATGTGGCATGTGACAGTTAATAAAGTGAGTAGTGGAAAGGCAAAACTGCAAGGTAAGCCATTAGACTAGGCTAAAGTCTTACCTCAATGTAGCCTTAGGACTTGCTCTCTTTTTTTCCCCCTTCTGCTCTATATCTCCTATTTGGACAATATATTTAAAAAGGAGTTCTTCTGCTCCCTTACTCAAAGAATTTGAAGTCAGCCTGCACAAAGGCAATAGGAACCCCCAGCCCTTCGTAGCAGAAGCTGGCAGAAAAGCAAAAGTGGCAAATCTAACATGAGATGAGTTAGGTCTTTGTTTTCAAGATTAGGGTTAGCTGAAGAACTAGGTGCTATCCTTGGCATCCTTTAAAGCAATACATAATTTTGAAGCCATTTAGACAAAAAATAATGACAATGCAGTTAGGTCGTTGGTGTAGAAGTTAAATATTGACAAGATTCTAGTCAAACATAAAAGTCGTTAGGGTAGGTAGTTGATATAACTGTGATGCAAGTAGCTTTAAATACGTTCCCGTGTTTTCACATTATTGGCTTCCACCTGTCTGCTTTAATGAAAATATTGTTTCTGAAGTCTCTGATTTCTTTTTAGCTAAATCTTAGATCAATACTTGTCTTTGAAACACTTGTCTGAAATTTGCTGTATCTTGATTTCAATAGCTGTGTATTTGGTTCTGCCCTGTGTTCCTTTCTGATCACGTCTTTCCAGTGCTTTTTGAATGATTCTCCTTATCTATGCTCTTTTTGCACCTGTGAGCAAACATCGGTTTGGTCCCTGTGGTCACCCACTCTTCTGCTGCAGTCCGCCTCTAGAGGAGATTAGACATAAATCTGACCAACGTTTCTGTTCATGACTCAAGCTAGTCACTTGTACCCTAAGCTATAGTTTTTGATCTCGTCTAATTGGTGTCTAGCACTGTTGCAAGCCCAGTGTAGCTAGAGCGGAGCTCCTGTTCTTGACCCAGTGTGTTGGACTTGAGAGCCAACGTTTCCTTGGTCTGGCTCCCGCTGCTGAAGCACCCGCTGCTGCGGCACCGGTAGTCTTGATGGCAGGGATGCGACAAAGCCTTCAAAACCATGCTGGTTTGGATGTGTGCCACTTCTTTCCACTTGAAGCTTTCTATTTTACATGAAATTCCTTCTGGCCTGCTGCTATGTTAGGGTTGTGGCTCCATAGAAGAAGAAGGTATAAAGATCTGTTGTTTGCTAAAACTACAAAAGCAGTTGTAAAATGACTATCCATGGTAACTGCAAAGCGTTCACTTAAGATAGACAAATGAGAATAACACAAAAATTGAGTTGTCTTCCTCCTTAATTAAGAAATGTGTTCATCTGTTGGAGCACAGAATAGATAACACAAAAGCTTATTTAAATTTTCTTAATAATAACTTACTAGTATTTTCTATTACATGCTGTTAGGTGGAATAAGATAATTTGACAGGTTCTCAGTCTAGTTTTTGATATTGGTCAGTGTCTAATACAACTACAGAATGAGTTTAAGTCAGGGAATCAAGTCCTTAAGTGTTCTGTATAAATTATGACTATCCTCTGAAACACAACTGTTAGGTAAGATGTGTTTTGGTAAGTATTCATGTCTCTGAAATGTTTTGCTTTGTAACTGCTCCTCTTGAGAGAAAGGGCTGCCGTAGCCCCTACGATTAAGGTATCGGGAACATCTCTAGATCGCAACTTTAAAAATAACTTTGTTGCTTTTAACATGTTCATTCACAACACGGTTTAGAAAAATGGCTAGGTTTTCCGAGCAGAACAGACTTGAGAAGCAGGCGGGTAGAGAGCGCGTCTGTAACCTGCGTAAACAGACTTTGTCAGTTTGGTGGGAGCTCTTGCCCTGGCTTATGGCTGCAACTGTAACACTCGCCCAGTAGCTGAAAAATACAGCCTCAGAAATATTTTGCAGAGACTGTTTGTTGGCCTTAAGAGTGCTCTATTCTTCAGCTTTGGGTCAGATACAGCCATTCTCTGTTAGAAACTCAACACGTGTAGTATAAAGTTGACATAATGATTTCTTCCTCATGTTCTCTCTCTCTCTCTCTCTCTCTTTTTTTTTTTTTAAACAAAAAACAGTGTTTAAGATCATACCAGTAACAGTTTGATTCTGTGATGTGAAAAATGCTGGGTTTGGATAAAGATGCTTGTTGTGTCATCTAAGTTGCCTCAAAAGAGGAGAACAATGCATTAGAAATAACTGACTCATTGTAAATGAGTGTATGTCGTTGTTTTGGATAAGAAATTTACCACTTTCTTTCATATTAAAAGTATCCTTTTTCATGACTTGCGTGAAAAGGAGAGGTTTCTGGTTTCATTTATTAATCAGGCTGTTCTGGTGGATGGTGACCACTGCTACGTACAGTTTCTCTGTGGACTGGCATGAGCAGTGGTGGTTGAGAGCTGCAGAATATCCACATTCCTGTCTCGTTTTCATATAGCACCCTTCTGTTAAGGCACAACACTTCAGGCATTCGTTCTATTCTTATGCTCTACATAATATTTCTATTAACTTGTTTGGTATATGCTAGCATTTGATATGGAACTATGTTCTCTTTGGCTGTTTCTTACTGCAAAGTTTTACTTATTTTGAAAGAATGCTTTATTTTTTTTTTAAACAATTTGAAATTATTTTATATTGCTATTGCTGCCAACAGTATCTTTAAGAAAAATCTAATAGCAATTAAAAAAAAAAAGTGCCTACTATAATTTTTTTTTTCTCCCCCTAGTTTAAAAATTATCCTAAAATGAAAAGAACTCTTTATTAAGAAAAGAAAAAAAAGCAGAGGCATCACATCAGATGCCTACTGGAAAATAGGTTTTAATATTACTAAAGACAAGGTATACAGCAACATCTCTTGATGCATGTCGAAGAGATGATTTTAATCTCTAGGGTTTCATTAGTAACATCTTGCAGAATTATAAACTGTGTTAAGTGACAAAATGATTTTTACTGTGTCTTGTAAGTGATACCTGGGCATGACTATTGATCAGTTTATTAGGGAGGAATTTCTTTCTTTTACAGCTAGAAATGCTTAGTGTTAGGGAGAGGAAGAAATAAAAAGAAGACGACACTTCCTGCATGGTAGAAAAAGCATTTAAATAATTTCATTTGCTGGAAGACTGGAATAGATTTAATCAGTTGCAATATTCTTTAGAAGATTTCTTGTTTATACAGATATCTGTGTAGCCAAAGGATAATATAATTTAAAATTAATCCTTTTCCTTATTTCCCCCCCCCCCCCCACACACACA